AGTAAATAGATCAAGATATTTTCGTACTCTGAAAGAATACAAAAAAATGATACAACAACAGAAACATTATTATAAGATTGAGCTTTTGAAGAAATGGGAATCATTGAATGAGAAAAACCCTAAAGAATTTTGGTCATTACTAAATTGCCTAGACACGGAAGTAAACGGAAAAAAACAATAAGGGCTCTGTAGATCCCACCATTACAGCTGAACAATGGATAAAACATTTCCAAGACTTAAACAACCTAGTTAGAAATACGAGTTTTGACACTGCCTTTGAAAAAACGGTCTTTGATCATTTAAAACATTCACACGACTGCACGTCAAATTTATTAGACTTTCATTTCACCCCACAAGAAGTTTTAAACGGTTTAAGATCACTGAAATCTGGGAAGGCATGCGGCATAGACTCCAGTTCAAATGAGATGCTAAAACATGGGTCAGCACAGCTATGCCAGTCACTGGTAACAGTATTCAATACAATTCTATCAAACGGCAAGTTTCCATCTAACTGGAATACAAGTATCCTCACTCCAATTTTCAAATCAGGCGACAAATCTAATGCTGACAACCAGAGAGGAATCGCCATCTCAAGCTGTTTATCAAAATTATCTACTCTATTATTGAATACTAGTCTACAAATCTTTGTCGAAGATAAAGGCATACTAAATGATGCACAGTTTGGATTTAGAAAAAAGTGCAGAACCTCAGACAATGTATTCATCCTTAAATCTCTTATTGACAAATACACACAAAAAAGAAAGGTAAATTATTCGTTTGTTTCGTCGACATGAAGAAGACAGTGTTTGGCGTGATAGTTTATTCTACAAACTGTCGCATTATGGTATAGGTGGAAATTTTTTCAATGTGTTGCGGTCTATGTACCTGGATGTTAATTATGTTGTTAGACTACAAAACGGATCGTCGAATCCTTTTGTTTCTACATGTGGGGTAAGACAGGGGTGCAATCTAAGTCCTTTATTATTCAACCTTTTCATTAATGACCTGCCTTCATGTTTTGATCCAAACAAATGTGACGCTGCAACTTTAACTTCTACATCACTTAACTGCTTATCTTGGGCGGACGACCTCGCCCTAATCTCACTGTCTAAAGAAGGTCTACAGAATTGTATAAACAATTTAGAAACATACTGCAATAGATGGAAATTGAGTGTTAATGTAACTAAAACCAAAGTTCTTATATTCGCGAAGGGAATACCAAACAAATGTCTAAATAGATTCTACATATATGGAAAAGA